ATTCTCTTGCCTCAGCCTCCCAAGTAGCTGGCACTACAGGCGCCCACCACAATGCCCAGCTACCAAACAAAATATTCTTGATCATCAAGTTAAACTTCCTAATTTTACAAATGAGGAAAATGAGTCTTAAAAGTTAACAAGAAAAACAAGATTTTTCCAAGGCCGCACGCAGCTAGTTAGTTAATTTGAGAATCAGGAATAGATCCCAGATTTCTGAACTGCTAGGTTTCTTAGTTTCTTTTATTCTGCGACATGGAATGCCTTTCAGAACCAACAACTGGACAGAACAGAAGGAATAAACTATCAGGCAGCCACAGAACTTATGGGGAACCCCCCCCAACTACAAAAATAGGAGATTCCTACTTACTCCCATTTACATCCATTCATTGAACACCTACCTTAATTGGGACTGGAATTGTGCTAGACATTTGGGCGCTACAAAGAGGAACAAGACACAGTCTATCCCTAAGAGGCTTACAGTGTAGTAGAGGGAGGCATATAAACAGATGTTTGTCAGTTATAATCCTAAACTTGTGTCAAAATACAAAAAGAGCTGAATATACTGTTTGTAGCTGTGACATTTAATATTTTTGGAATTCTGTGCTCGCTTCAGCAGTACATATACTCTAATTCTGGAATTCTTAGGTTCTTTGCCACAACAAACGCTTCAAGGCAGGGCTAGTGCAGTGTTATTAGTACTATTTCAAAATACATGTTAAGATAAATTTAGTTGAAAAAAATGCCACTTTGGTAACTGTCAATTGAGCCGTTCCCAAACCACCCTCTTAGCTAGTCGGAAACGCGCGTGAGGCTGGAGAAACGAACATCCGGCGAGCTCAGACATTTCGGGGGTCACTTTTACTTAGAGATACCCTTAGGGACGCCTAAGGGCGCGGTGCACGTTGGGACTTGTAGTCCTACCGGCACCGAGGGCCCTGCAACTCCACGTAGACTGTACTTCTTCCCTTTAAACTTCCTGGCCCAATAGTTACATTAAGCCCTAACCTAAAGTACAACTTGATAAATCTCACCTCATTCTAGGTTCGCTATTCTTCTACTTGGCTCATCCTGTTCAACACTGCAACAGACAGCATTCTCCTTCACAAGCCTCAAAGATAAGGGTCCGCCCTCACTAGTGGGCGGAGCCTTCGGTTCGGAGCTCGGGATTGGCCAGATTTTGACGAGAGGAGGCGTTTTCACATCCACTTGCGGATATGCACACTGTGGTAAAAAAAGTAAGTCCTTCACTTTGGTACGCCCCTTCGCAAAGGGAAATCTCGCGATATTTCGGCCGAAGGGCCCGAAAGACGCATAGAGCGGCCGAGAACAGTGAGGGTGGCGGGCACCGGGGCCGGGAGGGATAAGGTCAGGCGGGGAGGGAGCGCGCTTGCTGTCAGCGCCACTTGGGCTCGGTCAGGACCGGCTGCCCGAGCCCCAGAGGAAGCGTGTGGATAGTGCGGCCCTGCCCGGGTCGCGGCCGGTGAGTGGACCCCTAGCTTCACCTGGGCTGGCGCAGACAGTGACAGGTGCGCGGAGGAGCGCGGCGCTCCGCCCGCTCGCTCACCGGCCCGCCCCCTCCGGGCCTCGCCCTCCAGGGCTCTGGGTCAGGCGTGGGCCCCAGCTGAGCGGCTCTAGCTCTCGGCGCTTGTTGCTGTCGCTGCCTAAGAGCGGCCGCCGCCCCTAAGGGAAGGAGGGAGGGAAGCGGCCACTGACCCTAGGCATGAGCTGGACGCGGTGTCCGTTGCAGAACTAAGGAGCCAACATGAACCTGCACCAGGTGCTGACCGGGGCTGTGAATCCTGGGGACCACTGCTTCTCCGTGGGCAGCATCGGCGACCAGCGCTTCACGGTGAGTGAGGGAGGTTACCGCGTCCCCCGTGGCCGGTCCGCTACCCTAAGCCAGCTAGGCTCGGCCACAATGACCGGCGGAGGCCGAGAGCGCCTCGTCGCCCCCACCCGAGTCCCTGCCGCTTAGGGCTGGACAGACCTGTCCTCTGAGAACGAAAGAGGCAAAAACATTTCGATCATTGAGGTACTGTATAGAGTCTGAAGTTAGAATGTTTTGTAGGATTTTTTCCCAAAGTTTTTAGTGTCATTTCCTTGGGCCAGGGTAGTTTACCAAAGTCCTTTATCTGAAAATCTTTGTTGAATAACGAGTTGAGGGCTTTTTATTATCTTCTCTATACGCCCACATTGTTAAAGTTAGAAATAGTTGCAATTGGTTTCATTTTTTACATTAAGGTCAAGTATCTTTGTACTTAAAGAGAATGGATTCTTAAAATAGTTACTGATTGCTGTCAACTAGAACTGAGTAAAGATATAATGAAAACAGGGCATTTCATTTGTGTCAAATTCGCAGAGGTGTAACTTTGGAAAGAACGTTTTCTTATGTTACAAAATACTTACTGAGTATTTTTCAGTAACTTGGTAATTTCCAGTTAAAGTTTAATGAAAGTGACTTGCTTTTCATACAAGGAAGAGAGCCTCAAACTTCTGGCTACTTACAACATAGCATTTTCTGCCTTAACGGTAGTTTTTGTAATACTTTCGAACTTTGTGTCAGGACTGTACATAATATCCTTTACCTAAACACATTTGTAATGCTGGTGATTTTAACCACAACTTATGTAGATATCTCTTTAGTTATGATTAAAAGTAAAACTTAATTTTTATGTGAAACAAAGTAAACAACTTAACAGATGCCTCAGGTTTAGGTGTCCTAAATTTGTAATCTTATTGTCTACTTTTAACTTTGTAGCTTTTGTCATTCAGAATAAACAATAGTCAGCATTTAACATGGTTTAGGCATTAAATGCTTGAATTGTGCTTCTAGAGTTGTGACAGCAAGCACTTTGCTTTCAAATAGAGACTGTACCTCCCCTGTAGAGTGACTCATACACACCTTAGTTTGTACTGCACATTAGTAATTCTTGAGATTCTAATTCTAAATGTTTACCTAGCCTGAATACTTGGGAGAAGAGTGATCTCTGAAGGTCTCAGTGAACTACTGTAGTCTCCTTAGAGCTGGGCTCTCAGCTCCTGGCATTTAAAAGAGGGAAATAAATACCATCCTTAGGAGATTTTCTGAGTGGGAGATTACAGGATAGTTCAGTTACGGTCTTTGCTGTCTGTCTATTCATAAAACTTTATTAGTGCTTTTTCCATTGCTAATTTAAAGAACTTTTTCTAAGAAATGTCCAGAATCTGGCTCGGTGCCCGTAGGACAGTGGTTATGGTGCTGGCCACATACACCGTGGCTGGCGGTTTTGAACCCGGCTGGCTGTGACAGCTAAACAACAATGACAGCTGCAACAACAAAAAAAATAGCGGGGTTTTGTGGTGGGCACCTGTAGTCCTAGCTACTTGGGAGGCTGAGACAGGAGAATGCTTAAGCCCAAGAGTTAGAGGTTGCTCTCCAGAGGGTGACATAATGAGACTGTCTCAAAGGAAAAAAAAAAGGGGGTGGTGCTTGTGGCTCAGTGAGTAGGGCCCCAGCCCTATATGCCATGGGTGGTGGGTTCACACCTGGCCACAGCAAAACTGCAACAAAAAATAGCCGGGCATTGTAGGGGACACTCCAGCTACTGGGGAGGCTGAGGCAAGAGAATCGCCTAAGTCCAAGAGCTAAAGGTTGCTGTGAGCTGTGAAGCTACAGCACTCTACCAAGGGCAATGAAGTGAGACTCTGTCTCTAAAAAAAAAAAAACCAACCTAGAATATGTGTAAACAGTGGTATGAACTTCAAAGCATATACAATATGATTGCCTGTTTATATACCTGGATGCATCCCTCTATAAAAACCTTGCCAAATACTTCCATGTTATTTTTAAGGAGAGGTTAGTCAATGTGCCAAGGATTATATGGTCATCTTTATACCATCAATGTAGCTTGTTCTCAGTTCTGTTGAAGTTTAAAGTTCTTTTCTAGGCCAGGTATGGTGGCTCATGCCTATAATGCCAGCACTCTGGGAGACCGAGGCAGGAGGATTGCTTGAGCTCAGGAATTCCAGACCAGCCTGAGCAAGGGCAAGACCTGGTCTCTACTGAAAATAGAAAAACTAGCTGGGTGTCGTGGGGGATGGCTGCAGTCCCAGCTATTGCAGAGGCTAAGGCAAGAGGATTGCCCAAGCCAAAGACTTTGAGGTTGTTGTGAGCTATGGTAACACCTTAGCACTCTACACAGGGTGACAGAGGGAGACTCTGTCTCAAAAATAAATAAATAAAGTTCTTTTTCACAGAGCAGGTTTTAGTCATCTCCCATCAAGCCTACTTTAGATTTCTATCAGAAGCATTTCAGTAAATAAATTAAAAATAATTTTTCTTCTTTTATTTTTAGTATAAAGAGTCCTAGTTCTCTTTAACCTTGGTGCAGTTTCAGTGTTAACAATCATGGTTTTCTTTTCAGCCAATCTATCCTCTTTAACATTAAACTGGCAGTTCTGTTACAAATTAAGTTTCTTGGGACCCTTACATACACCTTAAATTTATCTCTGTTAAAATTGCCCTTTTTTCTTCTCTCATGTTAAAAAGCAGAATCTATTGTCTACTTGTTGAGTTTTGGTTTTTAACTTCTTTTTGACTTCTCTTAATGGTAGATGGCATGTAAAGACTAGTAAGTCCCTCTCAAATTTATTTTACTTAAGATAAGGGCATGAGATCTTCCTCTCTCAGGCCCCCCTGAAAAATTCTTTTATCCTTTTCTGCTACTTTAATGCCTTCTTTTAGGACAGTCCTATATTTATAATTCTGCCCTTTTCATGTTTGCAGATAACTTACCTGTTCTTACTTTGAAAGATTATAAGATAGGAGATCTATTTTCTGCATAAAGTCTGACAGGTTTTGAATTGAACTGAAATTGAATGCCAGTTCTTATGTTTTCTAGATTTTAAAATATGCAGTTACTAATTTAGTTTAGTATATGTATCTGTATATTAGATACTTTTTTACTACTTAAAGTGGCATCAAATTATTTTGACTTCGTTCTTTTTTTTTTTTTTTTTTTTTTTGAGACAGTCTCACTCTGTTGCTCCAGACGAGAGTGCTTTGGCATCAGCCCAGCTCATAGCAATCTCAAGCTCCAGGGTTCAGGTGATCCTCCTGCCTCAGCCTCCTGAGTACCTGGCCCTACAGGCACCCACTACAATGCCTGGCTAATTTTTCTATTTTTAGTACAGTCCGGTGTCTCACTCTTGCTCAGTTTAGTCTGGAACTCCTGAACTCAGGCAGTCCTTGCGCCTCAGCTTCCCAGAGTTCTAGGATTACAGGCGTGAGCCACCATACCTGGCCCTGACTTTGTTCTTAGAAAGAAAGCTTTTTTTTTTGTTTTTTGGTTATTTTTTGAGACAGAGTCTCACTATGTCGCCCTTGGTAGAGTGCTGTGCTGTCACAGCTTATAACAACCTCAAACTCTTGGGTTTAAGTGATTCTCTTCCCTCAGCCTCCCAAGTAGCTGGGACTACAGGTGCCTGTCACAATGCCTGGCTAATCAGAAAGTTTTTAGTAGGCAACAACTGTGTGTCCCATACTCATAATGCACTTTATTTGTATTTTAATTTTATCATTAACCAGTCCTGACTTGTGTATGTGATTTCCATGGCTTTGTTGTGGACATGCAGAACCGTGATTGAGAGATTGGTGGCACCCTATAATATGGTTAGGACCTCCACAGGCAGGTTCTTTTATACTCTTTTTTTTTTTTTT